GGCTATCCTTATGAAATTTTTACAGATCAGGGCCGTAATTTTGAAAGTGAGCTTTTCTGTAAAATCTGTACGATGTTAGGTATTCATAAGGCCCGGACCACGCCATACAGACCTTCCGGGAATGGCCAAGTAGAACGGTACAACCGCACCTTAATGGATGCGGTCCGTTGCTATATCGATGGTCAGCCCAAGACATGGGATAGGTTTTTGGGTCCACTGGCTGGGGCATTGCGGTCGGCGGTGAATCGCCACACCGGATATACTCCAAATCGTTTAATGCTGGGTGGAGAGGTCAACATACCAGCAACCTTAATGTTTTCCCCACCCCCTTCGCAGTCTTTTCAAAATGGGGAGGAGGGTGAGGTTGACAGGTATGTACGTGATCTGGAACAGAATGTGCAGAGCGCGCATGACATTGCCCGCAAGAAACTGAAGGTCGCGCAGAAGGCAATGAAAAGGTCGCACGACATTAAGATCCGTACCCATAGGTTCAAGGTCGGAGATTTGGTGTATTGGCGCCGCAATGCGGGAAAAAAGGTAGAATCTATCTGGAAGGGTCCTGGGGGTAATTATTGAAGCCAAATCTGATACAATATTTGTCGTCAAATCTCGTCGCGATGTCAAGGTCATGCACCATGACAAGCTTAAGAGGTGTGAGGCCAGGCAACTTCCCAAGTGGTTAGTTACTTATCAGAGTAAGTTGCCAGGACAGTCAGTAAGCCGAAATGGGGATAGTTCCCTTGTGCGCGATGTGGTTAGACCGCTGGTGACCGCGGACTCGGGGTTAAATCCTGGGGACCCGGGGAGTAGGGTTAAGTCAAAAGTCAGCCCTAAACCAGCAGAAACAGTAGGTCCATGTCTGGGTACCCGGAAACGAGTAAGGGAAAGGTCAGAACAACCAGAAAAACCCAAATCGCCCCAACGACCTAGAGTCACTAAGGGGGCTAAGACCCGACAGTATTGTTTATGCCTACAATCCAACCCTAAAGGTTTGATGGTTCAGTGCGACAGTTGCCGGGATTGGTTTCATCCCAGGTGTGTGGGTATAAGTGAGGATTATGCTAAATCAGTACCTCAGTATACTTGCCCTGAATGCAGTCCCGTCAGTGTTGGCAATCCCTAGGTTAGGATCCCGCAAGGGTGCGGAAGCATGTGTAGCTGTTTGCTAGCGTGATTGTACATACGTTCGTTCTTACTGCTAGGGAAGCAGATCTTTATAATTATAAAGGGATATTGCCCTGATCTTATGATCGATCCACTTGTGATGTTCCTGACGATTTATTTACCCCGATGTTCCAGGGACGATGTATTGGAGCCAGTTCCAGGATGGGTCGTTCGCGACGGAGTCGCGGACGTGATATCACGTTAGATATCATGTCTGTCCTGGGCTCGGATATCCGTATCCGGAAGTGCCGACCGAAGATGTCACCGGAGGACCACCTGATGAGGGAGACAACGATGGACCCAGTGGTGGACCCGAGCGGACTCGGAAGAGAGATGCCCAGGACCAGACTGATGTGATGTATCCTGTGAACTGTGATATTATTAACTGTTAATTTTTATTAATATTATAGTGTTATTATGGACATTAATGTGTAATTGATTATGTGTAATTGTTTTTAATGTGTTAGGCCCTGCTAGGATTTAATTATTATATTTTATTTTATTATGTACATTATAATTTGTCCCATTGTAACGGGCTGGGACGCCCTTTTTCAAAATGGGAAGGAGTGTGGTGGTCTTGGAGGTACTGGGCACGAATTGCCCTGCTACCTCCAACCACGTGGTACACGACACGCACCTGCCGTGACGTGTACCTATCCTCGCTCTCTTTTCTGTTATCTGCTGCAGAGTGCAGACGTGTCTCTGTCAGCTCCGTTATTATTGTATTTGTAGTTATTATATAGTATATAGCGGGCACTAATAAATCGCGTATTTTATCATAGTGTTGTCTCTATTCAGCCATCACCGTACTTAGGTAATAAGTAGCATAGTAGAGAGAAACGCTATAGAGGTGACGATGTGCTGAGCACGTGTAACACGTGCTCAGCACATCGTCACCTCCAAGAGATGTACCAATTATCAAGAACAGTTTTCTTTATACCTTTCGTATAGTCAAACCTCATTATTGAGAACTAGACTGAACCAAGATTAAACTCAGATATTCGATGATTCGTAAAAACATAAAAGAGGATGATTTGGACTGCCAAAGTACTTCAACATATCCATAGTATTTGAAATATCACTATTCGAAATAATTTAACAAAGTTCTACTGTATATTGTCTGATTTCAAAGTCAGTGCCCTTGGGTCACAGTCACATTAAACATGGGAGATTATTTGAGCCCGTGCAGTTATGTATATGCCATATTGACTCTTTTACAGTCTTGAAATCTGAAACAAAATACTCCAGAGAAAAATGTTCATTTGAGACACAACGGCTTTAGCACAACTATTTTTTTTATCTTGATGACCGAAAATTTTTTGACAATTATATATATCCAAGAAAAAAATGTACAATAATACGTACTGTCAGTAACTGTTGCTCACATAAAATCTTAATATTTCCTAAACCTTAACTGTGTAGCAAATGAACACTTGTTTGTTTCTGATTTCAAAACATATGTTCTTGTTGAACTCTTATTCAGTTATAATTTCATACAGTTGTCCAATCACAACTTCTTCCATGCATTTAAAACAGAGACAATTTTGATTTATGATTTCAGTGACATATCAGGTACATTAAAAAAAAAAATTAAAATTTCATCCATCAGATAGTCATTTGTTTATGGAAGTTGTGAAAGGCTCATATTCTTGACATTTTTAAATAACTTCAATTTTAACTAACAAAATATGCATGTTTTGCAACTCATGGTATCACTATATTCATGTTTTCTCTCTATTTTTAAAGGATAAAGTCATTCTTGTTGTTTAAAATATCATATCTGAAAATTTTACCATTAAAAAGTAAACATTTGGTGAATTTGTTCTTATTTTTCTTTAACTGAAGCTAAGCAGTTGGTTACTTACTTACTTAGTCCTCTTCGTGCTTTGAGCACATAAGGCCTGCACCGAGGACCTCCATCTCTGTCTGTCCACTGACATCTGCTGTACCTTGCCCCAAGTCCATCCCTGTTCTTTCATTTCTTTTTCTACTGACCGCCGCCATGTCTACCTTGGTCGCCCTCTGTTTCGTTTCCCTGGTGGAGTCTATCTTAAGGCTACAATCGCTATATCTGATGTTTCCATTCTCAAGACATGGCCAATCCATTTCCATCGTTTCTCTTTGATCTGGTCAGATATGGCAGCTGTTTGTGTTCTTTCATACAGCTCCTCATTACTGATCTTGTTTGGCCAGAATATCTTTAGTATTCTACGGAGACATCTTGTTTGGAAGGTGTCTAGTTTTTGAGTGATGTTGTTTGTCACCTTCCAGGACTCAGATCCATATAGGAGGACTCCAATGACATTTGTTTTAAATATCTTTATTTTTTGTTTTGGTTCTGATAGTTGAAGATTTCCAGATGTTCCGCAAGTTGGCAAAGGTGGTACGGGCTTTTGCAATTCTATTTTCAACATCCAAGGTGGAATCTCCATTGGCTGTGATCTTGCTGCCAAGGTATATAAAATTGTCTACTTCTTCTATTCTGTTGTTGTTTGCTGTAACTTCCCTTTCTATCTGTGTATTTATCTTCATTAGCTTTGTTTTGTTTACATTTATATTAAGTCCGATTTGTCCGCTATACTTGACCAGGTCATCAGTTTTGCTTTGGATATCCTTATATCGCTGTGCTAGTAAAGCGATATCATCTGCAAAGTCAAGATCTTCTAGTGACTGTTGAAATGTCCAGGATATTCCTCTATTAGCCTGACTGGTAGTGATTTTGATAAGCCAGTCTATGCAGAAAGTAAAGAGCAATGGTGAAAGCAGACATCCCTGTCGTACCCCCGTTTGGATTGGGAAGCTGTTTGTTAGTTCTGTGCCGCAGATCACCTTTGCCTGGAAGTCCTTGTATAGCATCTGAATGATGGAGATGATCTTGTTAGGGATGCCATAATGTCTAAGGATCTTCCATAAAGCAGGACGATGTATACTGTCAAATGCTTTGGCAAAGTCGATGAAATTGGCATACAACGTTGCGTTCCATTCATTGCTCTGTTCCAAAATTTGCCTCAAGGAAAATATCTGGTCTGTGCATGATTTTCCTTTTCTGAATCCAGCTTGTTCTTTACGAAGGTATGGGTCTACAACTGAGGCCATTCTGTTTAAGATGACTCTGCTTAAGACTTTGCTGGTAACTGACAGCAACATAATTCCTCTCCAATTATTTGTGTCTGCTAAGTCACCTTTCTTGGGCAGCTTCACTATGAGACCAACCTTCCAATCATCTGGTGCTGTTTCTGTCTGCCAAATAGTTTGCAGGATATCTGTGAGAAGTCTGGGTGTTAATACTTCCTCGGCTTTTAACATTTCTGCATGTACCTGATCGATGCCTGGGGCTTTCCCATTCTTAAGAAGTTTGATGGCCTGTTTTACTTCCTCTATTGTTGGTACATTGGTATCGATGTCCAAAGTGTCTAAACCTTCACTTATTTCAGCTTGTTCTGTTGATGGACATTCCTGGTTTAATACTCGTTCAAAATGATCTTTCCAACAGGTAAGCTCTTCTTCTATACTGGAGGCCAATTCTCCATCTTGTTTTCGCACTGGTGTATCTGTGCTTTTGAATCCTCCACTAAGAGTTTTTGTGATGCGATATAAGGTCCCCATGTCTTGTTTTGAGGCAGCATCTTCTGCATCTTGTGCAAGCTTGTCAACATAATCCCTCTTGTCCCTTCTTGCACTTTTCTTAACTTCTTTATCTTGTATTGAGTATGTTTCTTTTAGCTGGTCTTTTAGCCTCGCTGACTTGGCTGTTAGTATTTTCTTCTTTGTTTTGCGTCTATGTTCTACCATTTCCCAGGTCTTAGATGATATCCATTCTTCTTTCTTTTTCCTTTTCAACCCCAGTGTTTTCTTTCCCGCATCAACAAGTGTGGTGTTGAATTGTTCAATACCGAGTTCTTTTTATTTCTTAGGATGGTAAACCGGTTTTTAACCTCTAGCTGAAATGATTTCATGAGTGTGGGATCTTTGAGTTTACTCACATCCACTTGAGGTGACCGCTGTTCCCCTTTCTTTATCTTTCTCAGTTTCAATTTCAGCTTTACTAGGACAAGAGTGTGGTCACTTCCTACATCAGCCCCTCTCAATGCTCTTACATCCTGCAATGTTCCTCTCCACCTCTTGTTTATAAGTACATGGTCAATTTGGTTCCTTGTGTGACCATCTGGTGAAGTCCATGTTAGTTTATGAATGTTCTTATGTTGGAAGATGGTGCCTCCAATAACTAACTTGTTTTCTTGGCAGAAATCGACTAGTCTACTACCATTGTTGTTTATAACACCACAGCCATATTTTCCCATTATGGATTCTTTTCCTTCGTTGTTAGTGCCGACTTTTGCATTGAGATCACCAAGTATGAGTAGTACATCATGAACTGGTGTCTCCTCTATGGCTCTCTGCAGTTCTTCATAAAAGGAATCCTTTTCTTCTTCATCTTTGTCTTCTGTAGGTGAGTAGCAGACTACAACAGTCAGTTTAGCAAATTTTGAATGGAATCTTGCCGAAAGAAGTCTGTCGCTATATGGTTTCCAACCTAACATGCACTTCCCTAGTTTCCTACTGAGTATTAAGCCTACTCCACTGCTGTGCTGTTCATCTTTTCTTCCTGAGTAAAGTATCTGATGACCAGTGGCAAGTTTACGAGTCCCGTTTCCTGTCCATCTAGTTTCACATGTACCTAGTATTTGGATGTTATACCTGTCCATTTCCTTTAAGACTTGAGCCAATTTTCCTGTCTGGTAGAGGGTGCGGACATTCCAGGAACCAACTCTACATACTTCTTTAGGGTGGAGGATGTTGACTATCTGGGTGTCAGTTTCCTGCTGGGTTTGACTGCCATCCTTCATGTGTTCAGTTTCCTGAATAGTTTCCATCCCTCCCTTGGTACAATTATCCTCGGCTTTGTTTTCTGTAGCTGTTGATTTTTTACATGTCAGGGTTGCTGATCCTGAGCAAAACCCCCTGAACTCGGAGGACCAGTGGTTTTCTGTCAGGGTTTTCCTTCCCTTAGGTCACAAGTTCTGGTTATTTGAAGGCGCCAGAGACTCGCCTTTCGCCACTGTCACTCAGCTGCCTAAGCATTTCCAGGGTCACCAAAACGGGGAGGTGTGACATGTGACTTGCTGGCAGAACCTATTTGAGACGGTGGGCATTAACTCGAAGTTTTATTGGTGATTCTCCGTGACCAAAGAAACACCCCTCGAGACCCTTACCAGCATTTGACCCCTAAGCAGTTGGTTACAGGCTACTAATTTTACCCCATTTTCATTGACCACGCAAGTAGTGCCAGTTTAAAAATAGAGGTTTTTTCTTAAAACTTCTTTGGGATGTATATGGGGTGGAATGGGGTTATTTTAGGGCATAGATGGAAAGGAGAGGGTCTGAAAAAAATTATAAAATTTAGAGTAATGGGAATTTTGCTATTAAGTGCATAGTAGGAAGGGTGTAAAGAGGCCTTTGTTTACCTGTTTCTCAAAGGGAAATGGAAATATGCAGGGTAGGGGTTACGTGCGGTGCCATAGCAAGGCTTGTAGACTACGGATTTTTCTGAGATTTTGAAATAATTTTGGCCTTGAATTGTTCTAGCTCTGTGCCAAATTTCAGGTGAGTTGAGATGGTGAAATTTTTTAAATTAATTTTTATGTTATAAAGGAATGTATAGCAAAATAATTGGTAGTCTGTGTCCTATCAGGTCAAAGGTCAAAACTCACGTTAAGCAACTTTACGACCATTTTTGTATACTATGGGACTAATATTGATTAATTATGACAATATTTAGACAAATAAATAAATTTTGCAAAATATTTGGGGAAAAAAAATTGAAAAAAAGGGGGGGGGGGGAGTCTGTTTTCTTTACATGAACTGATTGACCTAATTTATGCAAATGAGATGCGTCGTGATATAATTGACGTAAGCTTTGGCCTTGGTCTACTGATTTCTCGTCTGCTGACTTTCACTTTGGAAATCATGGATGCTTTTTTTTTAATAAGTATACTGCCAAGGTAAACTCTGGTTCTGCCCCTGGATTGAATGGTCAGTGTCGCATCTGGACGGGGGCTAGAAGCAGCAACAACAAGTATGGTGTTGTGTGCTACAAGCATCCGATAAAGAACAGGTGACAGATGATGCATGTGCATAGACTCGGTGTCATGTTACATCATCGTTACCATGAGTTTGATGCATCAATTATTGCATCTTACTTATGCCACAACACGCTGTGTGTTGTTCCTGAACATATTGCTCTGGAGCCACATGGCATCAACCACCAGCGACAGACTTGCAAATCTGGGGGCACCTGCCTGGGGCACCCACCTCCGTACCTACCCTGTCTCTTGCAGCTACACATGAATGACAACAACATTGGTAAGTTTATTACTTTTATTATTATGTTACACTGCTGAAGATGGGAGAGACATGCATTACTCCTCACTAAGTTAATTAGTAAGTAGATCTATTTATAAATGAACAGTTAATAAATTATTGTCATTGTTACTTAATTGCTAATTAAAGTTCATAGCGAGTCACTCTCTTCCATGACATGGCCTTAGATTGTACCGTAATCCTCCACTCTTGTGACATGGGTGATCACGGGCAGCAGGTGAGTTTAAGTCTAGTTGACCTTTGCAGTAATCCGAAGTTCCCCTTTGTTCTTCACGGTACTGGTGATGCTCTGTCATTTTCCTAGCCAGCAGTCTGTTCCTTCTACTCTTTACTCTCTCTTTTCTATGATAGGCTTGATTAAAGAGGAACTTCTGGTCCAGTCTTCATAGTTGACGTTTTCCATGTTCAGAGTACTGTATTCCAGCAGACTCGCATTTCAGTCTTGTTGATGTTCCAGGTAAGGTGTTCTGTCGATGTATCATGGAGTGAAGACGTTCTTGGGCATGTTGCAACTGGCACTACGGTGGTAAGACTCGTTGACATTTGTATCAGTCAGCAGCTTCATGGCATTGATGGCTTCTACACTTAGTTTCATTTTAAGGATTTCTGTTACAATCATAATGTCATTTTCACTCATTTGCAGGGCTGTGATTTTATAAAAGGCCAGATTGCGGCTGAAGTTCCACCAGTTGGAAATGCACCCACCATGTCGCACACATTGAACAGTCACCAGTATAGCAAAGAAGAGTGGCCTCTAGGACTTTAGGTAAGAAATCACTCATTTTCTGCAGATCTTTGTTAAATCTGGTAAACAGTTCTTTCACTATCAAAGCACATCTTGACTTTAGATCATTGCTGAATACTCTTTTTTAGCTCTTTCTTCTGTTCTTTGGTCTTGGTATGGAACATTGCATCACTGTAAACTGCTCGGTTGCTGGCACGGAACTGTGACTGCCCAAGATGGACGGGGTCAGCAAGATGCTCTACTTTCCATAGGTGATGTAGAGCTCACATGGCTTCGTCCACTCCTTTGGCACCTTGGGCGTCGCTGTCTGTGGTAACATACCGGACTAATACATCCCCATCTCATACTCGGACAATGGTGCTGCCCATGGTAGATTGGAGGTACACTCAGGATGACCACCTGGACAATCCACTTCCATTCCCTTGCCCCTTAGCCATGCACCTGTCCAGCAGAGTTTGTTTTCCAGAGCACAGGCAAGTATGTATTTTCTGTCAGTGTTGATTTCAACGGCCAAGGAAAAGGCTTGACTGGCATTCTGTCCAGGAGTCTTACGGCTGAACATGATGTTACTGTTGTAACGGGCATCTGTTGAGATGTTAATGACATCTTCTGGGTGGCCTCGGGTCCTGCTGATCTGTTTTACTTTCTGATGCATATCTTCTTTGTTTAGCTTTGTAATATTTTTACTTATTTTGAACAGGAGCTTCTGGAGAGAGGCCCTAGTGGGAGGCTGTATGTCCAGGCAGCTCAGGAACTCTATAGCCTTCTCTGCCCCTAGTGAAGTGTCCTGAAGGGCATATGCCAGGGCCATGTTTGATGCTGATGCTTTGCGACCAGGACCCCCTTGATGAATTTCTTGGAATAGGACAAACTCGGGTGAGTTGAACTGGCAATTAACACAAATCAGTGAGTATTTCCAGGAAATTCCTACTTTTGTTGAGTGCAGCACAGTAGTGTTCGGTGCAGTACAGGTGGTAGACTGATGAAGTTGTATTGTTTGATTAATCATCTCGCAGCTATGTTAAGGCTGTCCGAAGGCTTAATGTGCATTAGATCTATACTATTTTATTTTGAGATATGTTTTGATTTTAATTTGTAATCTATGTATACATACAGAGTGTTTCAGAAAACATGCAACCATTTACTTTCCTCACTTTATTTATATGCAAACAGAAACATATGAAAGTTTATATAAAATTATGCTAAAAAGGCCAAAGTTTTTATTAATAACAAAAATTTAGAAAAAAAATTACCATTTGAATGAATTATGACGTCATATTTGACATCACTGAAAAAACAGATAATTTCATTCTTAATATGGAATTTAATAAAAAGCAATTATCAGGAGTTCCGATTCTGCTTTATCAGAGCATGTCACCAGTTCCTGTGATTAGGACAATGAAAATAAGGTTTACAGAATGCAAAGAACTTACTAATAGTAATATAAAGTGGAAGTTGTATAATTAAATCTGTAAAATTTTGCAGCTTATGGAAGAGTTAATGCATGATCAAAGAAATTTAAAGAAAAAAAATGAAGAAAAAGACAATAAGAACACATGAAAACATTTAGAATGTTACAAAAGAGGCATTGTTCCAGAGACTCGCATGAAATCCTTTTATAAAATAACTAAGTTTGGGAACAAATTGAGCAAGTCAAGTGTAGATCAGATGCTGAAATGTTTTGAGTCTTAAACCTTGGACTTGTTGGAACAAATGTTTGGAGGATCATTCAACTCTTTCAAATCCGTTAAATTTGGTCTCCACACTCACCTGACTTAACATCCCTTGACTTTTATCTGGGGGGATATTTAAAGGTCAAAGTTTTTAAAATACACCCCCCCCCCAAAAAAAAAAAACAAAACAAAACAAAAACAAAACAAATGAACTCAGAATGGTTCGAAAAATGAGACCTGATTCATTACCAAGAGACTCTCTGCAATAGTAATGAGAACTTTCTTGCATCGGATAGATTTAATATTCATTCAGCAAAAATGACGCCATTTAGAACATATTTTGTAACTAAGTGAAATTTTACAAGTTTCTTTTTTCTTTTGTAATTCATTATCTGTATGTCATATTTACTTTATTTTCACAAAAATAAATTTTGAAATTGTGACTATTAATTTGATATGTTGGTGCATGGTTTTGGTTGAAAAACCAGTAAAATTTAATCAATCAAAATGGTTGCATGTTTTCTGAAACACCCTGTACATAGTAAAGTTGCAGAGAGTTGAATTTAAGGTATTATAAAAAAACATTTTTGTGATGTCACATGACTGTGTTGAACACTCATACATTTTCTTAAATGTTGCACAAAAATCGCATCGGCACAAGTGAAAAACAAAATTATTGTGAACGGCTTGTTACATAAATCAATTAAACGTATTCTTGGGTATATATAAAGTGCTGGGGGAAAGTCTGAATTTTTTTTCGTAAGAGAATATTTCACAAGAAATTCAACTTACCCACATACAACGGGTCATTTTCCACTCTTCATCGCAATTTATACAAAATGGGATAAATACAATCCCCCAGCAAAATTCAGTTAGAGGACATATTTCTCTAGTAGATTCACGCAGAATATCTTCAATTAATCCTTATTATTCACTTGTGCCAGTCCAATGTATATAGAATTTATAAATTTCTAACTCTGTGTACGGACCAGGGATGGGGTCAATTACTTTAAAAAGTAATTAATTAAATTACAATTACTTTGACTTTTTCTTCAATTAAATTACAATTAAATTA